CGAACATTAAACTTATTTTGAGATTTTGATTACTACCTCCTCAACTAAAAACATAAATATTTTATCACCTCAAACGAATTTAGTAAATTGAACATTATCTATATAAAGACCCGTACGATATACATATATATATATATATATATATAAATTTTGGGTTTTACATGAAGTATGTTATTTGAATAGCTGAATGTTTGGCTTGAAAAGTGGAAAGGTGCTGGTAATATGTTTCTATTTGTTCATATATTTGTTATATATATGAAAAGGTTATTTTGTACAAAGTTTTGGTGATTTTCACCCTACAATAACATAAATAGGGTAACTCACTAGACCTTTCGGTCTAACCCTCGTTTTGTGATTTTAAATATGTATTGCAGGAGGTACGGACGGTAAGGAGAAGGGGAAAATGTGATATTTTCCTATATGCATATCTACATGAAGAATTGTCTATGATGTATAGTTTTGGTTGATGAACGATGATTAGTACAAGAAATGTATTTTGAATTTTTGGGATATGTATTTTGTATGGTAAATTCTTGTACTAAGGGACCTAAGTGGTACATAAACATGTATTTCTTCCGTATGAAGTATGTGTTACATGCAATGTGTGGTATGGGGTGTTACAGAAAGTGGTATCAGAGCCTGAGTTTAAGGGATCTAGGTATTTAACAGCATGATACCTAGACTTAAACTGTTTTATTGCATGTTAAGGGTCTCGGACATAGTTAGCTCAATTGGAAATAAATACGATGAGTTGAAAGAACAGTGTGTAAGGTAAATTTTAATTACATTTGGCCAGTGTAATTAAAAATTTACAGGTACACATCTGAACTTAAACACATTATTATATTGGGAATGTGAATACGTGATTATTAACACTAAAATATGAAGATGTCTAGCTGAACTAGAAGATCTGAAAGAACGGCTCGTCCAGAGTCTGAAGAAAGGGAAGAGTCACCTGTCAAATTTTCGACTGGCACATCTGAAATCAGAGGTCGAGGAAGACTAAGGGGACGAGGCAGAGGAAGAAGCCAGTC